TCAAAACATTTCTTTGGTTAAGAACAGTGACAGACACCCCCCCTTTCAATTTTAGATTGAAAAAAATTTTCCTAATGGCTTCCAGCGACGGATGATTCCTAGGGAACTTTCCGACCAAGAAAAACTCAAAAGAAGCATCTAAAGATTCAATTTCCAACTCAGAAATCCACAAAGAAGGCATGCCTCTAAAAGAAGAAACCTTAAGATCAGGAAAAGACGCATAACCAGAAGAAGAACCAGAAAGCGCTTCTTTAAAAGATATAGGCGAAGCAACAGGTAAAAAACCAGGATCTCGGAGACGAGAAGAAGCCATCTAAACGAAAAAACACAAACAAAAGGGAAGAAAATACTTTACGGCCACTCGGACGCCGAGCAGAAGTCACGCCGGAGGCGCCGCCAGAAAGTTTTAGGGCGAAGCCCTAAAACCCAGAGCTGAGGCAGAAAAAAAAGCTTGATGAGTATATGTACGTAGCCTTTCTAGAGCCCGTAACATAATAATACTATATGACATTTAATCTTATACATCAAGTCATCAAAATTTTGATAACAATAATGATCATTTCATAAAGGCTTTTACTAGACTTTCCTCTCCTAAAGTAAAGAAAACTTCAAAACTACGATTTCATTTGGGACAACTTTTTTACTGCTGCTTATAACAGTTTTTTAGTACAAAAAAATATACTACAAAACTATTTTAAAAAGCAATAAGAAAGTCGTCCCAAATGAAATATAAGACTTCTCATTTGGGATGTCCCTCTTACTGTTTTCTAAAGCAATCAGTTTGAAAAATTTTATACTAAAAAACTGCATTATAAATCAAACAAAAAAAGTTATCCCAAATAAAATTTAACAATATAAATCTTCTCTTATAGATCGTACAAACAACAAAGCAATCTAACATCCATTTATTATAGGTGTAAGCCTTTTGCAGTTATGTAACTTTAATATTAATTGTTGTATTTATTAGTTTGTCCACACCGAAAAAAATTATTGTTGTCAATGCTCTCTTTCTATTGGAAGTGTTATAATTACCATCTGTATCATTTTATAACTTTTGACATTTTTTCCCCCTCTTTGATTTTTTAGATTTTTTTTTTATTTATAGAGTTTTCTATGTTTGGATAGTTTAATCAATTTTTAGAGAGAGAATATTTATCTTCTTTTATTTCTAACCCACAATTAAATGAATTTTTAATTAAAATTTTGAAACTTTTTGTACCGTTATGATTCACCGGCACTAATAAATTGCTAATAATAAAAGGGAGGAGAATAACAATTAATAAGCGTTATAATTTTTTATGATCTTTAGTATTAATACAATGCGAATTAATTACAACGAATTAATTACACTAGCTACTCTCTTAATTATGAAGTAACATGCATTACAAGCTAGGTAGTAAAAACTAATCTTTGATGGATATAAAATATTATCAGCAAGGTTGATTTCCCTATTTGAATTTTTTAAGTCGTAATCAATTTTGAATTTGAAAATTAAATTAAAATTTTGAAATTAAAATAATTATATTATTATGTTATAATAAATTTAAAATATTTATATTACGTATATTTATCAATTTTATAATTAAATATTAATAAAACTATTATCGAATTTATTCAATAGGTCTTTATCGAACACGAATATAGCTTTTATCGAATTTCTTATCGAGCTTAATGTTAAGCTTGTTCACGAGCATCATATGATGTTGTTCGTGAACATAAATGAGTTGAACACATTAGTGTTTACTGTTGTTTATTTAAGGATCAAATATTTAAAATTTTTCCAAATTTTATTTGTTTAGTTAATTAAACAATCACAAATGTGTTTTAATCGAATTGATCAACGTGTAGCTCGTCGAATGCTTTGTTCGCTTGCAGCCCTATTTCTTGGTAAATCTAAAGTTATTATGGTTAAATTAATCAAAGTAATTAACAAAGGATCCCATAGTAAATTACATCTTCCTTCTCGAGAGTAGGGAGAAATTACAAATGATACGAAAAATCGAACAAATAAAAATAGTAATGCACGTCAGCTTTATACAAACTCAAATTTAGATCCAGTACAAGCACGAATTACATGTGTCGAGAATAACAGAGCAAACTAGAGCGATGTTACTTGGCGTGCCCAAACCAGAGAGCAAGACAATAATCGTGGATTTTAGAGCCCACCGTTGGCCAAAGCGGAGCCTGACGTCAAGACCTGGCCTTGGGTTTCGTGAAGGAGGAGATGAGAAAGAGAGAAGCCGCGGCATCACCGACGAGGGAATCTAGTATATCCCTCTGGATCTCCGACGCGATATCTTGCACCTCTGCCACCACTGAAGGGTGCCGAAGAAGCCGCCGGACATTGGATGCCGGTAAGTCTCCGGCCACCAGGACGTCAATGTCACCAACTACCTGACAGTCTGCCAAAGGGAAGCTTTTTATCTCCGACCATAGTCGGGAAAGCAGCAGCTTGCTGTCGATTCGCCGCCGCCATCGCTTGGGCTCACTAAGGAGTAGGTCGCTGAGAATCTCCTCTACTAGATGGAACAGCAGTTTCCGGTTCCACCGATGCCTTAACGGGCCCATTCGGGCCATAGCCTCCTCGAGCTTCTCTGCTTCGCGCGATACGGGTTCGAAGAAAGGAAACCACAGCTCGAGAATATGGAAGATGGTCGGGTCTATTGGAAGAGAGGGAGAGAACCAATTCATGATTTTCTCTCCTACGACGTCAGCGCGGGCCAGGATGGCCTTCACGTACTTGAACTCTGGGTCTTCTTTCTCGACATTAAAATGGTTTATTAACTGTGCAGAGAAAATTCAAAAAAATAATTTTAAACGGTTACATTTTCTTAATTGCAATTAAGAGAGATAGTTAATTAACTGGAAAGATACCGGATCTTGCTCTTTTTTAGGTGGTAGAAGAAACCCAGTTTGTAGACTAAATACGGTAAGCTGAGGAGGTTGCCGTTTAACTTTTTCTGTGAAACGTTCATAATTATTTTTTGTTTTTCTGCTTTTTCCGGGCTCCATCTTCAGAGCTTTGTCTTCGGACTTAAGCCTGGTTCTGAACAAATTTATGGAGGAGGGCAATGCCGTCGATGGTGGATGTTGCGGAACTTTCTTAATCGATTCCGAAAATCGAGGTTTAGGAGGAGAGCAAGTTTGCAGGGGCTTTAGCACAGTAGCAGGTTGAAGCTGGTTATTCCTAACGTATTTCTTCTCAGTCTGTTTGTTCTTTCTCGATGGAGTAATGCACTCATAGCTGCCTTCCCTTTTGTGGAACTCCATCTGTTTAACAAAGTTCTGGCTTCCGGGATTTTTGTTCTCTTCCTGGTACGAATAGTAATCCTTTTTTCTGGATTTTGAGGTACGCAGCGCGGAAGAGGCGGGGAAAACTTCGCGGAGGAAGCTCAGCTCCTGAGCCGTGTAGTTACTACTGTTTTCCTTATTGTGCTGCAGCGAGTGCCTGGGATCTGCGTCGCGTGGTCTCTCTGACGAAGCTCTTGGAGTAACAGGTAAGGAAATGGACCCGGAAATGTTGGAGTTCAAGTTTCGAAGTGGCCGGCGTGGAGAGGGGGAGTCCTTTTTAGACTCTTTTATGGACTTTTGCTTCTTCGTCGTTTTCTTCTTCTTCTCATTGCAGCTCTTACTACCGTTAACGACGATAGATTCTGAAAATGGAGACAATGTAGTAGATTCGTAGTAGGTTGAATTACACGGAGATGAGACCTCATCGTGGAGGCCTTCGAGTCCCATTAACCGAGCAACGATGCTTCGAGTTCTTGGTGTAACAGCTTGAGATTTTCTCTTCTCCTCTTCTATCAGAAGTTCTTTCTTCTTCTTCTTTGCCATGGCCGACGGATGCTCAATTAAAATGCTGATCTGATAGCCCAAAATAATAACTTGTTATAAAGCAGGAACTATTTAGCTACACGTAAGATTTAGAAAATTCGTACATCCAGATTTAGTAAATTTTCATATCTTTATAATTGAAAAATATTTGCCATGACCAAGAAAAAAAAACTGTTTGGTACTTTTTATTATTTTATATATAGAAAATCTTTCTGAATCCATTCAATTCCATGAATGATGATGATCTTAAAAGATTTGAATATAATAAATTTTGAAACAGTAAGAAACTTTATCAAAAATATTGGCCCGATTTAAGTACTTAAATTCTGCCTAAAATAGAAAACCAAAACTCCTGTAAAAGTGATAAGTTAGAATATTTACATAATTAATTTTAACTTACTGGAACGCCATAGTAATCTTCCTGGATAGCTGCTTCGGACTCCTCAAACTCCAAGCTATTCCTTGGCGCCTCTACTCCTGAACTAGGAGAATAAACTTTATAAGAGTACAGCCAAGAATAAAATGTGGAAAGAGGTGTATGTCAGATTCGATCTGTTTCAAGTTACGTACCCTTGTTCTGCGATGCGTGGTGGTAACGTTGCGGCTTTTGTGGCATCTGTTGATACTGCAACTCAGTCGCCGGCGGTGAGGTAGCTGCTGCCGGAGTCCGGCAGCCACCGGTGAAGAGAAGATGATGGAAATCGAAGAAGTGGAACATGCCTTTCATGCATCCAGGCCTCTCTCTCTCCTCCTTGGAGACGGAACGGCTCCAATACCATTCCCTCGCCATCGAACTAACTTCGCTTTCTTCTCTCTCCTCCGTCACGCGCTCAATCCCGTGAAATTGTTCTAAAAGAGGAGCACGAGACTAATAAGTAATAAAGGCGATTGCGTGAAAAACGGATCCTGGATAAAATCAGTTCACTGAAAGAGATGGAGAGAGAGACAAAGAAGCTGCAAGAAAAAAAATTATATATATATATATATATATATATACCCTTTTCATTTTTGAGATTTAACATGAAGAATTTCTGTATATACGCTATTTAGTACAGGTTACCTTATTTTACATTTTATTGAAAAAATATAAATATAAGCTAAGATTTTAAATAAAATTAATTTTTAATAGAGATATTTTTATGTATTTGTTGGGGGAAGATATCTTAAAGACCGATATTATGTGAACTAGTAGAGAGTTTTGTGTTGGGATCCACAATTTGATTCAAATGGCGAGGGTTCAATTTAAATTACTATGACTAATTCAAAATATAAATTCAATTTTAATTTGAATTATATTCAAATTAATTTAAAACTGAAAATATTTTAATGAATCTTAAATAAATTAACCTTAAAAAGTAATATGGGGAAATTTGAGATTTATCTTGAAGTAAATTTATTTAAGAATATATTTAAAAAATTATTTTTTAATTATATATATTATGAGAGAATATAGAAAGAAATAAAGTTTTCTATAATGTAGCATTTTTCATCCAAAAATAAAGAGAATTTTACTGAAACAACAGAAAGTTGTTAACCCGACTTGTATTTTATTCCTCTTAGGGAAGTGTGTTGATGCCGATGACGATATGACCACGAGAGCAATCCGCCCCCATTCTTTCACAGTTTTACCAATCGCCGCCCTGATCATTTAATAAATTATTTACAGCCTTTTTTTTTTTAACTTTAGAATCGATAACGTGTCTCGCCTCTTCTGGTCCCTTGTTTGATCCGACGGCAGACAGCGACCAACGGGACCACTTCGCGCTGCAAATCACCGACGCAGATAAGCGTAAAAACATTTGAAACGACCATACTGTGAAAAAAGTAGCGGTGATTTTTCTTCCTTATTTATTAGTCCTTCACGTGATGGCAGTTAGTACTAAATAATAATACTAATAATAATTAACTTGTTAATATTTTTTCTTGTTTACGCTTACTGCCCATCAGACAACTCGTGCCGCATCTCAGTGGTGGGTTATGGGCTACAGACGAAGCAGAGGCCGTGGGGTAGGAAGCCAAGGGCCAAGTCGTCCTTTTCCCGCTTTCAAATTTGAAATAGATGCCACTTATAAGGATAAGTCGGGAGTACGATTATATTAATTAGGGTTATTTAAGTTTGGCGTTGAGTAAAGAAGAAGGGTCATTGAGGCAAGCGTCGTACGCCGGCGGCGAACTCGCCGGGATTGCTGGGTTGCGACGGGGAGAGATGGATTAATGTGTAGAGTCACAGGTGGGGCCCGCTCGGGGAATAGGTACCGCGCACCAGCGTCGCGTGATCTGAGGACAAGCAGCTCGTATGAAGGATGCAGTGCGTTTATTATAAGGGCCAAATTTAAAAAAGAGCATGTTTTTAATATAATTAAGCAAAAGAAACATGATTCTTAAATAATTTAAAAAGGAGCAAAAATATTAAAGTATTTCTTTTAAAAAAAAACTTAATTAATTATTTCTATAAAAAATGCTAAATTATTTGGCATTATTTAGAAAATTTCATATATATTAACATTTTGCGCAAAATTTGGAAAGAGAGAGAGAGAATGAGCTTCATGTTTTGGGAGCGTTGTTTAGCAAACCTTGTTTGGCAAACCTCTGAAAATTGATGCCGCAACCTCTGTGGGCTCCTGACCTTTTGTTGCTCGTGTACTTGTGGAGCTTGATATTACTAAATCTTTCCCTAAACAAGTCTGGTTAGGATCTGAGTCTATGGGGTACATCCAAGAGGTTGCTTTTGATGATTTTCTCCCCTTCTGTGCTTCCTGCAAGTGTATTGAGCATTTACCCGGAAATGTCGTCTCCTATCCTCTAATGAAATGCCTAATGAAATGCCTATTGCTAAACATATTCCTAATGTTGCTGAGCAGTAGCTGGAGGATGTTTTAGTTGCTGCTGAGGCTAATTTGTCTCATGGAATCGTTTTGAATGATAATCCAACCTTGGTTAGTTCTTCCCCTCCTTTCCCTATTTTCTTGTTACCTCCTGCGGGGGATGTTTCGTTTGAGGTAACTAAGGTTTTTTGTGGCTCTGTTACTTTGGGTGCGAATGGTAATCCAGACTTGGTTTGTTCTTCTCCCCCTACCCCTGTTTTGCTGTTACCTATTGTGGATGATGTTCCGATTGAGTTTACTGCGGTTGATGGTAACCTTGTAACTTTGGCTGCTGATGTTTTCTGTTCTGATGAAAATGTGGTTGGTAAAATAGTTGGTGTTGAGGGATGTCATCCTGTTAATTCTATTCCTAGTTTAGCCCCGGTCCATCGGGTTTGTGTTAGTACTGATGTTGGTGCTCTTAATTATGATGGTATCACTTCGAAACATAATTTATCTGGTGCGATGTCTAGGCCTGTTCTGTGTGGTTTGGTGTTAGCTGATGGGCTTGATGAGAAGTCTTCTATGTCTGTTTCACCCTGGAATGAATTGCCTGGATGTATTATTCCTTCCCATTTTCGAGAGGATGCCTCTTCTGCTAAGTCTAAGGCTCAATATGAGGATGCTGTTTCGTCTTTGGCTAACACTGCTTTGGATGAGGTGCCTGCTGTTGATATTGTGCCTAACTCATTTGTGGATGTGCTAGTTAACTTAATTGAGCCTCAAGCTTTGGTGTATCATGTGGGAGACAATTATGCGGTAGATGTGAGGGTACATCTCGATTGGCTTCACTGTTTGTCTGAGTACGATTCCGATATAGATTCCTCTTTGGAGTCTTTTGGGGGTGATGATCCTACGAATGCTTTTGACTTATTGCATGACAAACCGGTGCTGTCTATCGCCTCTTGTGGGAGGGGTCGAGGGAGGGGCAGACGGGGTAGGTAGCTTTCCTCCGTTTTTGGTTGACTTCTTATTTCTCCGGTTCGTTGCCTTCTCTGTTCGTCTTATGGGTTGGATCTTGAGCTGTGGCAGCTGGCCTTTGCTTTATTGTTCTTTTCTTGTTTTTGGCTGGAAGAAACATTATGCTGGTACATTGGTTATCAAACAGTTTTCATCAATATATATATATATATATAATATTATTGTTTGAATTGTATCCTTTTTCTTTCACAATTGCATAGTAGGCTCTCTTTTATACCATAGCCATCTTTTTAAAGACAAAGGCTACATCATTTGTTTTGCAGTCAGTCTCATACAAAGTGTACTTTATAATCTCATTTGTATCATAATCATCTCTTACAAGACAGGCATCACAACCTCACTTATATTATTTGGCTATAAATGCTTTTATTAGCCTGAGAAATCTAGGAATCAAATGCCAAGTAGATTGAAATTTTAGTGGCATTCCAGTTTACTTTTTAAATATTTTCCCAGAATTTATATATATCTATCTACTATTTATTCTAGACATGTACTAGTTTACATATGTAAACCTCTATGGTAAGTTATATATTTGATGTAATGTTTGAGAAAAATCTCTGCATGGAAATCTTATATTCTTAATATTTGAGGATGATTTATTTCCCCATTTAAGATTATCTAATTTTTTATCATCTTCATTCAACCATTGTAAACCTTATATATTACATATTCTAAATTGCTTTGATATCGCATAGTCCAAGGAGTATAGTTAGTAGTAATAAATTACATTCTAAAATATGCCTCAATTAGGCTGAGTTTGTAAATGTTTGCAAGGATGCTCAATATTTTTTTGAAGATATTCAATAATCAACACTTGAATTAACTTGGTTTAAGGAGATCAATATGTTTATTAGTGTAGTAGAGATATATTAAAATTAAAAGTTGAAAATGAAAATTTGTAATAGTAATTCTCCAAATTTAATTTATTCTAAGTCAAAATATGTGCCTTCAAAATTTTTTTTCTTTCTAAATCAGAGCATCTTACACAATTAACAGCTGAAATTATGTCTTTTTTTTTCTAAAAAATTCATTTAATATGTTTATGCTATAGTATTATGTAGAAATTATTTAAAGTTTCTTTTGTTCTTTATACTTATCAAAATATTTTTAAAAATTTAATATTTTAAATTTTAAGAAGCATATTAAGGACATCTGGTACATATTATAATGTCATGTTTATAAGAAAATATTCTTAATTTATCATTTGCATGTCAAAAACAGAATTCGATTGAAAAACTTTTTTTTTTTCCTATTTAAACCTTCTGTGTTGCATTATATTTATCTATTTATTACTCTATTAGAATTAAAATGTAATGTCTTAATTAAGAGAACTAAGAACTTTTTTTTATATTTTTTTGAAAATGGGATAATCCTCGGCTAACCTAGAATAGGCACCCATCCCAAAAACCTCCTGGCTCTCACTTGATTGAGCCACACTTAAGAAACGTTGCCGCTCGAGGGGATTCAAGCACAGGTTGAGAGGTTCTCAACCGTACTCGTCCATCAGCCAAGCTAAATTATCCGTAGGTGAGAACAAACAACTTTATTGAAAATAGTAAGAATTAATCGGTTGAAGTACAATCAAAACACGTTTATTGATTTGGCGGAGTCCCTACAGGTGGGCTTTACTAGCCATAATGAGCAGGGCCGCCAGGCCTTAATTACATTTGAATGCTTCCAGCTTCACAATAGAGCCGCTGATCGCTACAGTAAAGAGAGAGGAATTAACCTTTGAGTTTCGTTCAGCACTGCGTCCACTCTGCCACATTCAGACTCCTTGACGTGAAATGGGATTCATGTGACTCTGTCTACACTGTCTCGTCAATAATTATCCTTACAGAGAGAAAGAAAGAGAGAAGGCAAACATGGTAGCTATCTAACATTTTTCAGGTTAAATTGAAGAACTGATCAGGCTCAGATGGCTCTTCAAGATGAAAATACGTTTCGGGAATCATAGCGTGGGAATTGGT